CGATAACGGTACCTAGGCTCGAACCCCGTTTCGTTTGATATCGTAATTTGTGTTATTGTGTTATATTACATGCTAAGTTGCTGAACGTGTGAAATACGAGTTAATTACGTGCCTTGGATATATTATTATGCCGTATGTTGAATTTACAAGCGTTTTGGATATCAAAGTGATTGCCGTCACTTTGGTTTATTGTCGAACTGAGTTTCGAGTGGTACTTTTCGTGTAAATCCTGGAGTTATAGGTACTTGGAGTTGTCCTTGAGTTATTGGTTTTGGTTTGAGGTCGTTTCAATGTGTATATGTCGAATTATGAATTTTCTAAACCGGGCATGTTGCTGAATCGTAATTAATTCGTGATAAATCGTGTGATACTCCAAAGGCCATGAAATTTTATATGTGATGTCCTGTGATGATTTTGTAAGTCGTGTAAAAATGTTCAAGTCGAAACTCCATCTGTAGCTGTTTTAATTAATTGAATCGGTTTCTGGTCAGAATTTTGTAAAATTCATGTAAAATCGTACACTACGTGTTTTGAGCTGAAACGTTGAGGAGTATTTTATTTTGTGGTAATCTGTGTTGTGTCAAAAGTTTGGATTAAAATTCGAAGTGTAACTATATGAACTATTAATGTCGGGTTTTGACACTATTTTTGCTTAAATTATTTAAAAATGCTCCCAGATGAATTTAGGGCTGAAACTTGGTGAGATTATGTGTTTTTGTATGCCTTGTGATGTGGTAAAGTTTCAGATTGATTGGTTGAGTCTAACTCGGGATTCTGAATTTTATTTATTTCGGTTATCCGTTGTTTAGGTTCGGATTGGATTATATAAATGTTGGCAAAATTTATGTGTTTTACCTGAGGTATATATGTTGTGTTCAAGTCTAGTAGTCACTCCAAAGTACTTAACTCGGTCAAGGAATCCACGAGTCACTTAATCGATATGATTTCGACTAAGTATATGTGCTTTGTGTGTTGTCTTGGATTGGATAGTCAGTTGATAGGCTATTATAATTGTTGTAGGTTCATCAAGCTGAACCTTTGCCATTGTTCCTTCAACCCTGTGTTTGGCTATATCTCGTTATCCAGGTGGGTTATTCAAAATTTGTCTATGCCTTGAATGATAATTGCTTTATTTATGTAGGTATGATCAATGTATGCATGTGAGCATGTAACCTTCGATGTGAGATGTACCGGCCGTCGAACGGTTATCCCCGTAGCTATAGAACGTACCCCACAAGGGTAATCTCCATGTTTGTCCTTTGCTAAGGGCCACGTCATCCGTAAGACCTTGGCAATGTGCCCTGGCCGGTGATGGATATCCTATTTCAGCACTAGGTGCGTGCTGTGACGGTTGAGCCTCCTTCTGTTTGGGCACCCCATTTATGTTCGCCGAAAGGCATACGAGCAGCAGTCTATTGTTATAGGTGTGCACATGAGAATTACTTTGGTTAGGAGATGGGATATTTATTGACTATGTTCATACATCGACCATTCCATTTAATTTCTCGTACTATATTATTGTTCATGTGCATAGTAGTGAGCACTACAGTTCACCGTGCTCACTCCCACCTGCTCTTCATGGATGCAGGTTAAGCAGGTGTTGGCTGACGAGACAGAGACGAGTGGTGTTGGTCTTTGACTGACTTCATTTAGTTTATTCCGCATGCTAGTAGACTTGGGATTATTTATGCTTATTTATGATTTGGGAACTTTGGTATTTATGATTTATGACTTTGGAATTTTGAGAACTTTGGATTGGGAGATGTTCCCTTATGAAAAATTTGGATGAACTTGGGATTTATGAAAACATTTGATTTATGATTAACCTTATTTATGTGATTTAGTTCGAGTAGCGCCACTGATTTATGAAAAGAAATCTGAAAAATTTAAGTTGACTTTTGACTTTCGTCAAAATAAAAGTGGGGCGTTACAGTTTGGTATCAGAGCCAGTCTGCGTTTCTGTAGACTGCTCAATGTGATTTATGTGCATTTATGAATATATGAGTATACGCATTGACCACTCGTCTTCGTCATGCTGCACCGCTTGAGGTATGTAAGTCATAAATAATGCTGAGATTATTTATGAGATGATTGTTTATTTAAACTATGTGTTATGTCTTGGGGCTTAGGAAAATCTATCTACCTTCGATTGGCTTGAACTCTAGTATTTGTTGGCGAACTCTAGAATTGTGGCATATATATATATGAGTATTATGTCGTATTAAGCCCAGGCTTTGGCAGTTCTTTCGCTAAAAAGTGCTGCTTAGTGTCTTCAGACCAGGACCATTATCGATAGCAGGACTAACTGGGGATGACTTGAATCGACTGTGGAGGAAGTAAATCGTGGACTCGTGTAGCGACATCAGTCTTGCTTTCTTTTCCTAAGTTGTTGCTTTCTCAGAAACTTTGCAGACTTCTATTTATTTTCCTTTCCCGTGGTAGACAGTTTTGAATTGTGTTTGTGATTCTGATCAATTTCAGTACTTTGAAATTTTGTTTGCCTTCTCCTCTTTTGCATGGGATGAGATTTCGGATGGAGTTACGCATATTTTTTTTTTTATTAATTCTTTGATGATTCTTATCTATCCTCGTAAGTTGACAAATCTTGTTTTGTGATGCTTCTAATTCAATATGAAATTGGGGAGTCGGGAAGTGTTGTTCCACTTTAAAAGATTTTGAGAATCTTTTCAAGGAGGGTAGCCGTGCCTGGTGCCGGCACATCGTGAATTACATGGCCGTCTTTGCTTTTGATATTCAAAATCGTTGAAACTCATTTAGGACTGCCGGCACGGTTAGCTACTTGAGCAAGAGCTGACGTGACAGCCGACACTTTTTGTCGGAAGAGTCGAATGAGCTAAGCGTTTCATTATTCGGTAGTGAACGCTATGTTTGGTATTATTCCCGGTTGAGGAACCGATCCTCGTTTCTTTGGATAGTTTTACTCGACCTCTATTGTTGTTTGTTCGACAGAGACTGTGTTGATCAGGGAAGGTGGTGAACTTGGAACTCGGTTTATGCCTATATTTGAAACTTTTAAAACTATTAAAGCTGTTCTATACGTGCATGATGGGAGAAATCATTTTTTTTATTAAACCCAAAGTTGTTGTCGTTCGAAATTTTGTGGAAAACCCTTGTTCCTCCCAATTACCTTGGAAATGTTTACTTTTGATTTGGTGAAATTCTTCTTAAGACCTCAAACCCAAAGCAGGCACTGGCCAGGTGTAGTCACGCGAAGTGGTGGCCGAGCACGCATGTCCGTGCTGAGAGACGTAAGGCTAGTGCACGGCCGACTGTTGACTCGGACGTGAGCTG